AAATGTTTAGTTCTGAAATTAATTGATTGTAATTGAAAATATAGCTCTCGGATGAAACTTTCAAAACATCAAAGGAATAAAGATGTTCTATGGAATTGCATGCGACTGTTATAGTATTTACTCATGATGCATCTGTTGCTCTTTTCACTGTCCTTATCATTTAGAGTGGCAATCCAGTGACTGAGGATAATGATCCTGTGGTTGAAGTGCTTACTGTGCAAGCATGAGGACCTGAGTTCAAATCTCCAGCACCTGAATAATTAAACTAGAGATGATAGTGTGTGTGTGTGTGTAAGCCCTGGTTCTTATAGTGAGATGGGAGGGGGCGGCAGAGTAATTCCCAGAAGGGCACAGACCAGCCAGCATAAAACAAGGTGAAAAGCAAGTACTAAGTCTGTTTGTCCCCCGACTTCCACACATAACTGTGCCATGCACCTGCAGCAAGGAATGACAGTATATAAATGCTTCTGACTGGCATCTAGGAAATTTTCCATCTTGCATACATAGAACATTCATTTACATTTACCTTTCCATTGCTTCTCAGGCATTATGCTGTAGAATAACAGCTCTGTAGTCATTTAGCCATTAAAGCATTCTTAACTGATTTCCATATCAATGGATTCTGGGCCTTGCTATAATGTAAATAACTTCGAAAGATACAATAAACTGGTGTTTACTCTCTTGGAAAACAGCTCTACCAGTGACTTTCAAAGGCACAGAAAGCTTATCGACATTATCAGTGTCAATGCCTACTAGATTGTGTGAGTATCTGTATTTTCCTTTGGTTGATTTAGCCTTTAACACTCCTTCAACAATCAGGTCTACAGGGGCTCATAACATGTGTAGGCTCAAATTTTTTTTTTTCTTTTGGATAGGCATAGTGGCAACACATCGAATCCTAACACTTTGGAGGCTGAGACAGGAAGATCAAAAGTTCAAGCTAGCTGTGCAGATGCAATCAGGCCCAGTCTCATAACAAATAAAGTGTGGTGAGGGGAGATTGAATGTGACCCTGGGTTCAACCCCCAATATGAAAAGAATGGGGTGGGCTATTAATTTACTTTTTAAATTAGATTTACTTATTTGATGGGGGGGGGCATGTGTGTGTCATGGCATGAATATAGAGGTCATAGGAATTGCTCTTCCACCATGTGGGACTGAGGAATTGAACTCAGGTCTTCAGGCTTGGCAATAAATGCCTTTTGTTCACTGAGCCTGATCCCTGGCCTTGTTTTATCTGTTATGGTTTGTTTTGGTGTCTTATTGACAATGAGCTCTGACCTCCGTGAAAGCAGGGCAATGCCTGTTTGTCTGTTTGTTGCTCTGTTTTTGTTTAGCACAGTTTTCCTGACAAATACTACATTTTTGATGAGTTTGCAAAAAGAATGAATGGTTATTAATCAGTTTAACACTTTCCATTTTCTAAGGGAATTTAGAACTACATGACACACCTACTTGAAACACGGCCCCTTGAGTTTTTACTTTGACCTTCTAATAGCATAAGTATATCCCTAGCATTCTCCTAACTCCAATACCCAAATTCCAGATCATTTTATTTTCTTGCAAAGCAAATTTTTCATTAATCAGAGAGGTCATTCCCAGCCTGCCTGTTCCACTTCTTATCCTCCTCATGGCCACCTTTTTAGTGAATCTCCCCATTCAGCAGGCTTAATATCTTTGCACTCTGCCTCTGGCAGGAATTTTAAGGCTTTCCTGAATTTCACATCAACTACCTTAATGTCAGTTCTGTGTTTATACAATCTCAAGGCCTTCATTTCTACTCTGTAACAGCAATCCACCTGGGTTGATCTCAAGGGTTTGGTGCCCACCAAAAACTAACTGACATTCCTCTAACTTCACGTGTTTGTCTTCTCCACTAGAATCTAACCACTGAGCCTGGCTCCCCCCTTCTTACTTCTACTGGCCTCTGCAGACTGTTTCAGTGGCCTCTCTCTAAGCCTCGACTCTTCTCTCTTTCATGAGTGTCAGTTCTCTCTCAGCCATGTCTTTACCATCCAGTTCAGACCCATGAGTCTCACTGTGTTACTCTCCCACCAATGACCTTTAATACCACACCTTTTCAATGTGTCTCCACACTCTGGGAGCTACAATCCTGGATTTTTCCATTTACCTCTATACTCTTCCACTCAACCCCACAATGAGTTGTATTGGTTTTTAAAAAATCACAAAAAAACCATAGGAATTAGAATCTCTATAAATATGGGGATCCAGGCTTAGCATGTTCTAATTTTAAGCTTCTGCCCTCATTTTTAGAAAACAGCTCTGTTTCTTTTTTTAATAGAGAAAATAAAGGCTATCAGGAAGGGACTTTGATCAAGCAGTCCTCCCCTCTGCAGTATAAAATATCTGTTTCCACTCCCGTTGATATCTCTCTCCTTTGTACTCCTTGAAGTTCATGTGAATTGGTATTTGCAACTCAACTTCTGTCTCTTCAGGGCTGTGTCATCTAAATTACTTCCTTTTTGGTTCTTGTGCTTGGCCTATAACTGGATCCAGTAATACTCACTTAAGATGTGAAATGCCGAAATGCCCTCTTCTGGCTCTCATTCAATACCATCTGCCTTTTTATTCCTTTCCTTTTCTTTATAGGTGAGCTTGAAGTCACTGTAATACTTCCTGACTGCTTGTGTCTTTGTGAGTAAATGAATGAATATTTAGAAACAGGGTCTTATGTATCCCAGGATGGACTTCAATCTGTTTCAGAGCTGGAGACTGCTAGGATTATAGGAATGTGCCACACCGTATCTTGTTCATGGAATGCTGAGATTGAGCCCAAGACTTCCTGCATGCTACACAAGCACTTTGTATCCCTAGTCCTCAAACTTCCTTTAATTTTTAGAAGACCTCTCCACTTAAGTAGACATGTGAAATGGACTCAGATCAACTGCTTTTGCTAAGGTTACCTTTTTTGTATTAATTTTCAAAACCAGTGGTCACTTTTCAGTGTTTGTCTCCCTGATTCTTTTGTGCTTTTTAAAAAATACATATATTATGACTGCTCTTTGGAAACTCTATTCTTGAGTTACACTAATAATCTTTCTTTGGCCCCTCCTAATCCTCTTAGAAACCTTGTGGGATTTCTTGCCTGCTTTTTATTTATTGGTGTTCTTTAGGATTCCTTCCTGGATCTCTTTCTCTTACTAACTAGATGTACTTTCCCTTAAATAGTGTCTTCTGTGACCATAACTGCAGCCATCTATATATCAATGACACTCAAATATAGTTGCAACTTGTTCTGAGGGGGTTAGGATTTAAAGTCAGCATGGAAGGCAAAAATAGAACAAGTTAAAATTATCCTTCAAAATCTTTAACATTCCTTGCAAGGCTCTGTACGCCATCTTGGATATATACACCATCAATCAAGAGGTCCTGCACAGCCAGTCTTCCTCTGTGATTGGAACAGAAGGCTGTTGCTTTAGTGGAACGCCAGATGAAGTTGTTGGCTTGCACATGGGGACCATGTTACAAGAAAAATATGTTATTGGGCTTTTCGTCTTGCCAAATGCATATCGTATAGTTAATATAAGTAAGCATAAGAGATAACACCAGTCCACTGTACATATTTTTAGCCTGACTTCTTTCATGTGCTCTAAACACCAAACTGCCTATTGAATATCTTCTTTTGGATATTCCAGTCCAAATTGTTTTAATTCTAGTTTTTGAAAGCTGAAGAATTGAGATAACCCACATTCTGCTTAGCAAAAGCATTTGCTGTAATGATACAGCAATGTGACAAGGTTACAGCTCACATTTGCAGTGTTTTCAGATCATCCTGACTGATGTCCTTGTTCCAGGGAGATGTCCTCTAACACTCTGCAGCTGACCACATCCCAGTTGGTCTGGCTGGATCCAAGGATGCTTTAAATTGGGAGAATCTTTAGGCCAAGCCTCACATCTGCCAGTAACCTCAGGCTAAATAGCTTTGTTGAGACAAGTGCAATTCATAAATATCTTGGAAAGCATTAAAGTTCTTTATTGGTCTTTTCAATGCTGAATTTCATCCACTGCTGTTACATCATCCTGTAGAACATTTGCACTAGGATATCCTGAGCAATCAGCCAAGTTAAAACCCAGCATTTCCTCAATACCAGACTGAATATCTGTCTCTGACAAGCTGGGTGTGTGCTCTGGATATTGAGCAAACATCAGAGACAAGTTTATATGGCAATGCACTTTGCCTTCTCTTTATCACATACAGCAAACAGTGTAAATAATTAAAGGCTTCATGGCAGAGAACAGTCAGGCATTACATAAAAAGTAACCCTCCTCAGCCGTGGACAGCTTCACTCCACTTTCAGCCTTCTGACAGCCCATGTAATTGTAATGGGACTGGACAACGTTCACAGTACCCTTTTTCTTCTCTGTCATTATTCATTAGTCTACATGGTCAGACTATCTGTTTCTTCATTTGGTGAAGTCTGAACCAAACTGGGATATTCTCAATGGCCAATTCCTGGTTGCAGAAAGAAGGATACCTTGCATTTGCAATGTCTCATTGTTATATTCCACCAGCTATTACATAATTTTTAAATTTGGGTTGGGATTGTTATTGAGATATGGTCTTTCTGTGTAGCCCTGGTTGGCCATCTATTCCTGACACACACTAGCCTAGCCTCAAACTTATCATAGTCTTCTGCCCTTAGCCTCCCAAGTGTTGGGATTACAGGTGTGAGCCACCATGTCTATCTTGACCGTTAGTTTCAGGACTGAATTACTGTCTTGTCTTCCTGTAAAGTGGACCTCCATCTCTAAACTGTTCTTCCCTTAAAAAACAATAAAATACAATTTGCAGTCAGATAAAGTCACCTTCATATTAAAGACATATTCAGTAAGGTTATAAATTATAGGCAGGTGGTCTTTCTATTATTGTCATGCCCACTGTGCTCTTTGCAGTGTAATAGAATAGATAAACTTCTTTTCCAAAATAAAAATTAAACCAGATTAAAATTATTTTTGCCAACGTAAATCAGAATCAACTGTAACCTTTAAAAACTTACAGACGGCATTATTCATTTTATAATAAAAAGTATCATGTAGATGATAATACATTGTGTCTTCTTAACTCAAATAGCAAAAATGTAGCAGAAGGAAAGTGATTCTCCATCCTCTTATCTACAGGCAGCCAGTATTCATCTCAAGTTCAAGGTGAGTCACTGTGGGAAGGGAAAGAAAGGGAAGGGGAGGGGAGGGAAGGCAGATGGGAGGAGAAGGAAGAGCATGGGGGAATGGAGGGGAGGGAAAGGAAGGGAAATCGAAAAGGGAGGAGAGGAAACATAATAATTACATTAATGATTGAATTATTCCATCACCTGTATTCATAAATTTGAAAATGTGTACTTTTTGGTCTCTACAACCCTGCAAAGATGAAATTATCCCTGTACCAGCTGGTTTTTACATCAACTTGACACAAGTTAAAAGACATTTGAGAGTAGGAAATCTTGATTGAGAAGATGCCCCGACAAGATCTGACTGTAGGCAAGTTTGTAGGTATTTTCTTAATTAGAGATTGACGGAGGAGGGTCCCACTCATTGTGGATTGTGCCACCTCTGGGCTGCTGGCCTGGGTTCTAAAAGAAAGCAGGTTGAGCAAACCAAGTTGACCAAGTCACTAAGCAGCACCCCTCCATGGCCTCTGATTCAGCTCCTGCCTCTAGGTTCCTGCCCTGTTTGAGTTCCTGTCCTGGCTTCCTTCAGTGATGGACTACATTGTAGAAGTATAAGCCAAATAAACCCACCCTCCCCAATTTTCTTTTGGTCATGGTTTTCATCACAGCAATAATAAACCTAATTAAGATAGTCACACATCCCAAGGTTCAGATTCAGTGACTTCCCAAAATTACACATTAAATATATGACAGGAATGAAGCTTGTCCCACAACTTCTTGACTCCAGGCTGGTGATCTTATGAAATAATGTACATGAAGGGGCAAGTGCCTTATTATTATTATTTATTTTGAGATGGCTCAAAGGGAAGCTTTGCTTCACTGCAACACTTGATTTGCTCCAAATTAAAACTACACAAAAGATTCTGGAGCTGCAGGATGAATGCTTCTTAATGCACACCATTGCAGCACACAAGTATCAATACATAATTCAATCCTGTAATTGTAATTAATTCCTAATCAGGGAAATACCCTGTGTAATATTAAAGAAGATAGATAATTATTGAACAAGATCAACAAGTCCTTCTAAATGTAACAATGTGCCCTGGGATGTACACATTGATCTTGTCTCATTGCACTCATGGCATTTTTCTTCTCCTGGATTGTAAATAGGAATTCTTGCAGGGAGGGCATCTTGCAGTGACCCACTAGGGATTCTAACCAGGCCCCTGATAGCACAGAGTGACTCAACCTCCACTTTGCAAAGTGGAGAGGAGAATCAGTAAATTTGGAGGCCAGCCTGGGCTACAGTGTGAGACATTCCCCAACTCCCACTTCCCTTTCCACCAAAAGTAAACAAGGACTCTTTCAACCAATTCCAGATTGAAAAAAAAAAAAAAAAAAAAAACACAAAACAAGCACTCTGATATTGCCAGAACATTGTTCTGGCAATGCACCTTTCAAAACATTGAGTTCCTCTGGCAAATTTGAAAGACAATTTCTAGTTCTAAAACATCTCCAAATGCTTGAAAGAGAAACATGCCCCTCAAAATAAAACCTAGGCAATATTCACTAAATACTTTAATGAATTGTTCAAATTTGAATTTCCTGATATATAATATCCTAGTTCAAACTAGACCCTCAAAAATGAGATCTCTGACCCAAATATAGTGGCTCAACCTGTAACGTTAGCTTTTGGGGACTGAGGCAGGAGGATTGCTCACACATTTTTGGCCACAGTGGGCTGGCTACATAGTGAGTTCCAAGTCAGCCTGGGACAAAAAGAAAAAAAAAATCCAACAACAAAAGGTAGTAACAACAACCAAAAGAGTGAGAGCCTCAAAACCACATATTCTAGTCCCATGGTGTGGCAGTTTGAATATAGCTGGCCCCATAAAGCTCATAGTGAATGGCACTATTGGAAGGTGTGGCTTTGCTGGAGTAGGTATGGCCTTGTTAGAGGAAGTGTGTCACTGTGGAGGAGGGTTGGGGGGCAGGGGTATCACATATATGCTCAAGCTACACCTAGTATAGTATCTCAGACCATTTCCTGTTGCCTACTGGATCAAGATGTAGCACTCTTGGCTCCTCCTACAGCACCAGGTCTGCCTGCATGCCAGCATGTTCTGCCATGGTGATAATGGACTGAACCTCTGAACTGTAAGCCACCCAGGTACATGCTTTCCTTTATAAGAGTTGCTGTGGTCATGACGTCTCTTCACAGCAATGGAAACCCTATCTAATGCACATGGCTGGTTCTGCTGGTTACAGAGGAGAGAGCCTGGAACTTTCTCTTCCAGACTAGACTAGATTCACATTTGCAGCAACACTTGTTGATCTCTCAGTGCTCTGATTATTAGGTATGTGCTGCCACACCTGGTTTGTAGTAGCATTTTCTTAATTAAACACTTAATTTCTTTGTAGAAAAAAATGGTTTACAGAAAACCAATTAGTTGGCCCAGAATTTGCACATACCACAGGCAGAATTTCACCAAAATTGATGAACCGATTTTGATATATCATCATTATTAACAATAGTCCATAATCTACATTTGGGTTTATTCTTTGTGCTGTTTAGGTTTATGGGTTTTGTTAAATGTATGACATCATGCAGCCATGATTAGAGTATCACATTATAATCTCACTGTTCTGATAAGTTTACTGGACTTCATATTTTTACTTTTCCTCTTTTGACTACCCTGGAAAAACAGTGATCCTTTACCATCTCTCTAGGCTTTATTCTGTTACACAACTAGTAAATGCTGTGCACACTGCAGTTTCAAGACAATTTTCTTTTTTCTTCTTTCCTCCTCCTTCTCCACACCTGATCTACAGAGCAAATTCCAGGACAGCCAGGGATATACAGAGAAACCCTGTCTTGAACAAACAAAAAAAACTAACCCCCCCCCAAGACCCCTATTTTGCACGTGGTAAAATTTAACTGTTTTCTGACAAACAAAATAGTGGTTTAATAATCAATAAAACCAGCAATCAAAAACAGAGTTCTAGAATCCTTCCAAATTTTAAGCCCAATTTCTTCCTCTATCTCTTGGTATTGGGCACTTCTGATCTGTGCTGTCTATTTAAAATAGAGAAACAAACAAAAGGCAGACACACACAGGAATTTATTAGCTACTTAACATGGTAATCTTACACAACTTGCTCAAGACCAAAACCTCGGTCTTGAGATTTGAAAACCAACTGTGTTTCATTTTGCCTGTTTACTTTCTTTTCTAAGAAATGTTTTCTTGTTTAAAGAAGCAGAAGCCCTTTCCCTAAGATATCCTATCGGTCCTTGACCCCTGTGACTCCAACGTCTTCTGACTTTTCCCCCTTGTCCCTGCCATTGCCCCTGTTTCATTTTGGATTGGTATTTTCAGCTTTTTGTGCCACAAAAGGTACAGTTGTCAGCACTCGAATTCGGTGACTGCGACCAGGGTGGCGTGGCTCTCTGAGCTCTTGGGGATGCCAGCAGCCTGCATTCTAGCTCCTTGCTCGGACTCTACTTCCTCACAGACCGGCCATTTATACTCAGGAAATTAGACAGCGTGTTGGAAAGAGTGTGCAGGTATCCTGGCTCGGGGTCGCCCCTGCCCGGCCTACATCACCTAGTGGATTGTTCTGGGAAGTGACGCCTGAGCACAGGTTGCAGGAAGGT